TCAAATATTTTAACATAGACTTACGATAATTGTAGCGCTAAGATAGCTTTGTGCAGCAGGGCCCTGGTGAGATATTATGTAAAGAAGACTAAAACCAGGCCGCAACTGATTAATCAACTCAACGAACACAATAAAATGTCCTCAATTCCGATCCCAGATTAGCTTGATTAATGGAAGAGCAGGCTTCAGATGTTTCTTCATGATCAGATAACATTAATTAAGTACGCAAACTTCAACAACACGTCAATTATTCAAGGACAACATGATCGTCACATGTTATCTACATAGGGACCGACCATTTCATATTCTGAGAGGCCTGGAAGTTTTTGTGAGAAAATAATTTGTTCAAGAAAATCCTGGGGGGGGGGGAATCTTCAGGTTTTGGAAATTGAAAAAAAAAAGGTTTACTGGACATAAAAAAAAAATATCCTTGTAAGGAAAAAATAAACTTCTGTTTCTTGTCAGGGGCTACCACAAGCCTTAAGATAATTAATCTTGCATTTTAAAAATCATTTCACAAATTAATAGCTTTTCCCTGAATTATGGATATCGTGCCATATAATTTGCCTCAGGTGTTAAGATAATCAATTAGTACAAATCATATGGGTAATCCATAACAACATACTCAAGTTGCCAATGATAACAATTTGCCAAATGAATCATGAGTTGATTGCAATACAATCATGAGTTAATTGTGATTCCAATCTGGCTAAGCCGTCTCATTGAGCGCCACTGCTCTAGTTATAACTCTGATGTGGGTCATGGCTGCTCCTCAAGCAGGTGATAACTCTCTGAGCACCCACTCATGGGGAATCAAGGGGCCTCAGTAAACCAGTAACCTAGATTGTAGTTTGAATAATTAAGGCCTTATTTTATCAGTTAGTTGACGGATGTTTCTCTCAATAAATCATCAATAAAAACTAAAATGGCTTATAGAATAAATATTACTTTTAAAAAATATAGGAAATGTCATGCATCAAGAGGCCTTGAGCCTTTGTGTTATATACATTCATGGTTTTATACATTAGTCTTAGTTTTAACTCCCGTATAAATTCACGAAAATGAAGCCACAGATTTTGTTCGGAGGTTAGATATTTTTTCAGCTATATTTGCAAATCCATATATTCTTTTAATCAAAACGCTGAGCCTCATTGTTTGTTTTACAAAGAGCATCTTGCGGCAATGGTTTTTTTCATCAGTCTGAAGCACAATTTTTAATATTTTTTTTAAGCATTCTCTTGGACAATTCTTCTTCTTTTTTTACAACAATCCAGCCTCCACCAACAAGGATTATCCATAACTGTTATCGACTTGTGTTATATAGTTATATATATGATACAGTTAACTACGTTTATAACGAACACTCATATAACGAACTGACGGATATAACAAACTTATTTTTTGTCCAAACATTTGCTGTATATATGACTATAACAAACTACGGTAGTAACGAACTAAACATAGTGGTCCCTTTGAGTTTGTTATCATAAACCATAGTTTACTGCTTATGAAAGGACACATGGGTGACATTTTCTATTTCTATTTCACTCCTCGATATTAACGAGTAGACTCACGATGTCATCATCACGCATATGTCAACTGTAAAGATACAAATTGTTACACCTGGCATACACTCCGCGATATTTGCAAATAAACTCAAGATCACAGCAATCAGTAATGAATAAACACTTGATGAAAATCATTGATCGGTGTCTTCTAGGACTTCAAAAACAGCATGTATACACCAATCATCTCAGGAGAACAGTAATCTGAGATTAAATTGTCAACGTAAAACATCAAGGAGTAATAAATATTATTTTCATGATTACCACATGATTTATACATTTAATGATCCCCAATGGAATACATGTGTCCGATGCAGTCTCCCGGTTTAGTCTCCATGGTACCAGCTGTTCCCCATCAATCATCACCATGTTACAAAATCTAATCCTCTCAAGGGGAAGACATTGTTTTCCTGACATTCAAGGACATCTGCTTCCAGAGCAAACATGATATACATGTTTACATTAATCTACAGAAGTTTCATCATATTTCATCTGTCAGTTCATATAAATGCTGTTGTTATCAATTGTTAATGCATTATTCACAACCATACATGTTTTCTGACCTTATTTTTTACAAGCCACAAGTCCTTAACAAAATCGAACCCCACATATTCAAAATGCCTAATACCGTATTCCACGTATAAAGTGCCTGGGGCGCTCTCAAAATTGGTAATAGTGGGCTCTCATTAGAATATAATTTTGGTGAGAACAAAAACAGTGTTGAAAAATTGTAAATTTCGTACAGTAGTTTATGCTGACAGCCTGAAATGATTCAAAAGAAAAGTATGTACGTATCATACACGAGAGATATATTTTCCAGAATTTAATTGCCCACAATTAAGGGTGCATATAACACACGAGTATTATACACGAATCAATAAGTCTTGTGTACATTGATCAATCGGAAGGGGTGCTAATTGGGATTGTTCACTAGCAAATATATTAGCAAATATCGCCATGGGCGCTTATTAGAGCGGGGCGCTTATTACGTCGAATACGGTAAGGTAAGTCAACTCATGATGTTACCCGTGAAGATCCGGGGTAGAATATATCTGTAAAAGGCGACTATGCTTGTCGTAAAGGATCGGTTGGTCTGAGGCTCCCTGACTTGATGCATGTCATCGATCCCAATTGCGTGGATCGATGCTCATGATATCAATCACTGGACTGTCTGGTCCAGACTCGATTTTTTACAGACCACCGTCATATAGCTGGAATATTGCTGAGTGTGGTGTCAAACAACAAACCAAACCAAACCAAAAACTCATGATGTACCTAATACCCAATCACCAATTGATTGCTCATTGAACACATTCCATCTGTTAATACTCATATTTTCCCATGCTGGCTTCAATGTGGGAAATTAACTTCTTTATCCCACATGCTAGGCCAGGGTAATAAGTACAAAAAGAAGCTAAGACAGAACAATCTTTGCAAAAATCAACACAACTAAGCCTTAAAACTATCAGATACTTAAGAGCTGGATTGATCAAACAATCACAATCCAAAAATAGGTTGACTTCAAGGAAGTCTAAACTTTCCGTACAAAATAAACAATGAACCTGAATACTAGCAAGGTGAGGTGAGGTGAGGTGAAATGGGGTTTAACGTCGCGTCCAAGATTATTGCACTTATATAGCGACGTGCATGTACGTGTGTGTGTTTGTGTGGCTGTTTGTACTAGTCCGGACTGATGCCGATTTATAGTGCTAGCCCACTGAGATACCATGCCGCAGTTTAACATGAATACCCCACTCAGACACAGTATACTGACTCCGAGCCGACCAGTCCTTGTTTTAGCCCCTAAATGCCGAGCGCCAGACAGGGTAACAACAAGTACCATCTTTTAACATCTTTTGGTATGACGCGGTTGGGGATCGAACCTCGGACCTTCCGCTCTCCGGGTGGACGCTCTACCACTAGACCACGGAGGCGGTCGAATATTAGCAAGGAAATGTTGAGATTAATTCAGCTGATGACCAACATGAAGCTGCTATGCTTATCTCCTCTCATCAAAAAGGGATAGATAGCCCTTAATTATTAATGATCACTGACTCCTTAGGGCAACATGGCAGCGTAGGTAAAGTGACAACGTCAAGCAATCCCATATTGATCAGCATAGTAGCAGAGTTGGGGTATACAAAGCCGTAACAACCGGTCGTGTGGGTAGACGATGGCTAGGTAAACTTGGTCTGGTGAAAATCAGGTGCTGACAATCTATCTCCACACAAACCTGTATTGATCAGTGAGATGAAGCCTTAAGTCATGCATGGCTAAAAGAAATGATGTGTTAGATGTCATGTAAATAAGCCAGGTGTATGCGATTAGGATCACCAGTGAGCACTGTGACAGCCAAGCAGGCAATGTTTCTCGATGGAATACATTAATGGATTCGTTGTCATCTATTCCAATAAGACCAATACTTCTCATCGTGATCGATTGAAAACCGTCTAGATTCTAAAGCAAAAGACCCTCAGTCCGTAACTGAACTGTTGTGGATTAGCTTGGATATAACTCTCACTATAATTAGGGTCTGAAACAGCATATTCGCCTGGTGGGACATTCATGTTTATACCAACCACTGTGACATGTCAGTGACAGTCCTATAAAGGATTAATCGACCTCATCTGATTCAGGCTAAACTCATGGATTGTGGATCAAATGACAGGACTAAATTCCATTGTCTACATAAAGATCAATTTGTCGGCCTGATGTGTCAAGCTTTTAAGCCATAACAAACTTGTTTGCATGCCATTTAATGTACAGCTTTGAAAACAACTAGATCAGTTGGATCCTTAGAATCACAGTGAAGACAATTCAACCAAAGAGGTACAATTAACTGATTCAGAAACAGGATAGTAGCCACATTCTGCCACAGTAGAAAGGTATTTGGCTGTATTCAGTGCAAAGAGATTAGGCGGTATTCAGTGCAGAGAGATTGGCGGTAATCAGTGCAAGGAGCTTGGGCTGTAACCAGTGCAAGGAATTTTGGCTGTAACCAGTGCAAGTAGATTTGGCTGTAACCAGTGCAAGTAGATTTGGCTGTAACCAGTGCAAGTAGATTTGGCTGTAACCAGTGCAAGTAAATTTGGCTGTAACCAGTGCAAGTAGATTTGGCTGTAACCAGTGCAAGTAGATTTGGCTGTAACCAGTGCAAGTAGATTTGGCTGTAACCAGTGCAAGTAGCTTGGGCTGTAACCAGTGCAAGTAGATTTGGCTGTAACCAGTGCAAGGAGTTTTGGCTGTAACCAGTGCAAGTAGATTTGGCTGTAACCAGTGCAAGTAGATTTGGCTGTAACCAGTGTAAGGAGTTTTGGCTGTAACCAGTGCAAGTAGATTTGGCTGTAACCAGTGCAAGTAGATTTGGCTGTAACCAGTGCAAGGAGTTTTGGCTGTAACCAGTGCAAGGAGTTTTGGCTGTAACCAGTGCAAGTAGATTTGGCTGTAACCAGTGCAAGTAGCTTGGGCTGTAACCAGTGCAAGTAGATTTGGCTGTAACCAGTGCAAGTAGATTTGGCTGTAACCAGTGCAAGTAGATTTGGCTGTAACCAGTGCAAGATCACAGTATCACTGCAAGTAGAAACTGCAGGTGTGTCCGAGATCTGAAGCCTTTAACTACTGTTTGATCACACATTGTTATAACCTTATTTAAAGATCTGCTGTAATTAGAGAAAGGAGCTGAAGCCTTCAACTCCTGTTTGATCACATGCTGTAATGACCTCGTTAAGAGATCTGCTGGCTAGTTAATATAGAACAGGATATATGAAGTAGGCCAGAACAGATTAATGTGATCCCTTGCCCGAGGACATTGCATGGCGTGCCTTTCATGTGGTAAAATTATGCAGGTGTGGACTGGTCATAAAAATTCACTCCATTGATGGACATAGGCCACCGAGTGTGTAGGTGGTGATATACTGGTCAAGTCAGGCAACATTCATATAGGTGAGAAAAGGATAAAACGTGTTGTGAAGTACAAGCATTAATGTGATGGACGCTGCTCACGGTAGCTGTGTACGTCTGATCATTCAAGGTCAGTATGCCTGAACAATTCCACGCCAACAGTCTTAAAATTACTGCAGCAACAAAACTTGACAGTTACAACAGAGCTTGACAAGGGACAGATACATCCAAGAGACACGTAGGCATAAACCCATCAGTGCCGCCTTCATATACCCCAGGCTACATGCTTGAGACCGACACTTCTCCAGTGCTTTGGCTGATCAAGTCATAATAGTCTGGTCATTAGGTCACTGACGCTCAAGGAGATTGAGGCCAGAGGGGATGAGTGACGTGACAACAAAGCCTAAACGATTGCCATTGCCGGAATTGTCAAAATACGTCTGATACAAAAGACTAACAGGACAAACTTACTAAAACAAGACAACAAATCTATTTCCATGCCTGAATTCTATGACATTCCCCAACTATTGCATCATCCAGCCTAATCCTGTGATTGGGCCTTTTCAACAGAGAAAACTTTCTTGAAAGTCACCGGTCTGCTGCAATCAAACCACATCAATCTAGCTCTTTGTGACACTGTTACCTGTTCTACAGCATCGACATCAACATCAACATCAACATCAACATCCACACTCAGGTGAGCACTCTGAGGCTGAGGCAAACAACAAGTCAGCAGGGTGCTAAGTGCTCAATACATCCCCCGGGTTGCAGCGGAACTGGGGGAGACAAAAGCACTATTGATTCCCGGTCCTGTGCTGGAAGTAAAGGGTGAGCGGTGATTGGCATCAGTTGGTTCCACTGTGTGCAGGTGAGAGTTGATTGCCACTAGATCAACCAACATGGATGGAGTGCAGGACGATGCCGTTCCACCTTCACCGACATGGTGCGACATGAACCTAGAATTGGCTCTCCTCAGAGAAGGTAATAGTACCTTTGTCTTCATCTCACAGTTTGTCCATGGGGGTTCACACTGCATTGAACAGTATTTCACGTACATTGAAGTGTGTCAGCGTCAGGTTGAGGGATTCTTAGTCCAAAGTGACGCAGGTCTTAGACATTTATCACCTTGGTGAAATCTATGAGCATGGTTATATTGTGTTGATAGACCAATAATACATATATATATACAATCTTGGGATCAGAACCAGCAAGAATACACCCTATGAAAGTTATAAACCTGTAGACCCTTCTCTTTTGTTTTAACTATTGAAATTATTATTGACATCCAGTCTTGTAATAAATTCCCTTCATATTACTACAAACATTCCTGGGAATAAAAGGTCACTTTATCCCCTCATTTAGCAACCTGGCCCACAGATATTTTATTTGTTCACCAATAGGTATTTACACAAAATTTGACATTAAGTTTCTTAAATTATGAGATATATCATGTTTTTAAATTTCTGGGGTTTATTGTATACTGGGTGCACAGGAATTTTATACAGTGTATCAATTTTAGGCTCATTTATCATAGAAGTGTTAACACCTACAATCACATGATTATCTTACTCTCAAAGAAATCTCTTAATTATATTGTGGGAAGAGATGGATAGGTTTAAGGCAGCTTTGTTTATACAAAGATAATGTTATGAATATACAGTGTCTTTCATAAAGTGGTAAAAAGTAACATGTTTTATTTGGGGTAACACTTTCTTAGTTGTACAAATTCTAGTACTTTTGGGGTTCACTCGCCAGCACAAGTCGGCCATCTAACCTTTCAGCCACCGAGGCTTGGACAAGCCCAAGAGCTACAGAGTATGTGATTCAGACAACCAGATCACTGACTTTGTGTGCTGGTGATTAGGTGCCTCACTCAAAGAGTGTGGGTTCGAAGCCCAGATGGGACTCAACCCAATAAAGTACTAGAATTTGTACTTTACTTAGAAAAAGTAATTCCAAATATAACATTTGTTATAAAGGTTATGTTATTCCACATGCACATGGTTGACTGAAGTAATGGCTCTGGCTGTCAGTCTGTCTGTCTGTTTATTGTTTAACGCCGCACTCAGCAATATTCCAGCTATATGAAGGCGGTCTGTAAATAATCAAGTCTTGACCAGGCAATCCAGTGATTGACAACATGAGCATCGATCCACACATTTGGGATCGATGACATGCATCAACCTAGTCAGCAAGCTTGACCATGCACGAATCATAGCATGACTAAGAAGAAATAATATGCATCTTGCCTGCAGGGATAGGTGTTATCTTGGGGTGTTTGTCATTCACTGCCTTTCATGACAAGATCCCAGATTCTAAATGTGAAAGTTTATATCTAGACTCAGGCTAAAGATTTATTTAGGACTTAAAACTAAGTGCTTGTGGCAGGCGAAATGGGAGAAAGCCTTATACAATATTTGGTCCCCACACACATTACCACCAAGTTATAGTCTATTGAGCTACAGATGTTTACATTTCTCTCAAGAACCAGTTGTTCTTGCTTGACTGCTTCTTTCCCTATCATTAAAATCAATCAACTACATTATATATTCAGAGTTGTCTGCACACGGAGGACCTATTGTTTGGAAGGATAAATAGATAAGTATTTTATTAACCATGAATATTTCATACGCAGTAAAAAAAAGGAAAAACTTTTCTTTTGCTCATTGTAGTGTTAAATTGAAAGGACCGTGAATCAATCTTAGCCAGACTGCTAGCAATTTCATTCCAATCAATCTGTCATTATACAGCCGTCTAACAGTATGCAGCTTTCTGCTGTTGGGCAGCTTTCTACATTGTGCAGCTTTCTGCCGTTGTGCAGCTTTCTACATTGTGCAGCTTTCTGCCGTTGTGCAGCTTTCTGCCGTTGTGCAGCTTTCTGCCGTTGTGCAGCTTTCTGCCGTTGTGCAGCTTTCTGCTGTTGGGCAGCTTTCTACATTGTGCAGCTTTCTGCCGTTGTGCAGCTTTCTACATTGTGCAGCTTTCTGCCGTTGTGCAGCTTTCTACATTGTGCAGCTTTCTGCCGTTGTGCAGCTTTCTACATTCTGCAGCTTTCGGCCGTTGTGCAGCTTTCTACATTCTGCAGTTTTCTGCTGTTACCTCAAAGGGATTTTTCGAAAGCAAAACACAGGAATAGTATTGTTTGACAGGCATTTCTGAGAAAAGGACAAAGTAGACACAGTTTATGGATAAACAACAGCATAAGGCGAGACCAATTTAATTGCTAGGATTACGGATCCGCCGACACCATTTTTCGCCAAATCGGAAAAAAAAATAAATGAAATTCTATCATTTTTTTAAAAAATATTCTACCCGACATCCGACATCCGACATCGATCGATAAGCCTTGTTGTGAGAGAATACATGTAAGGGGAAGTAACTCTAGTTTTTAACTAAAATTCCTTACGCAAATGTGTCGGCAAATTCCATTAGTCGTTCCACGCGAACATAGCCAATCGAATGCGTACTCTCAATTACAAGTGTTTCCCGCATGCGCACAGCGTGTATTGAATATGCCGGGACCATGTGTAGGACATGGGGTGTCAGTTTGGGTGTTTTAACTCTTTCAACACCGTAGGCCGGTTATCCGGCCAAGAAGCATCGAGTCCCCAGACGTAGTCACGTCAAAATAATATATATATTTATGGACCTACCTGTGATGTCATTCATTTATTAAATCTTATAACATTTCACAATGTCTGAAATACGTATTCCATTTCACTTTATCATTTTTAATCGATACATTAAAAAATTATTCACTATCTCCCGCGGTGTTATTGAAAATAAAATTCTCGGACACAAATTTCGACAACGGGTCCACATCGAACATGTCAAAGAGCAAAATAAAGAGGTTCTAAACAAATCTTTAAATATATTATACAAAGTAATAAATAAAATCAACAAAAATATATCTAAAAGTAATCAAACTTACATCTAAGTTATTATTTCCATCTTTTCGTGCGATCGCTTGTAGGCTAATGTATGTCGAATGACATCTCGGCTTTCGTCGCCTTGAATTCTCGGCTCGGACACGATGTTTAATGCAAAAATATATGTGTGAAAAATCTTTGTCACAGCTCGTAACCTAGCACGATACATTCACGAAGTTTTATATTTTTAATATATATCGTGATTTCCGGCTTAAAACGTTCAGAATAACACGATTTAACAAAAATCTTTCGCCAACTTCTAATATGTATAAAACACGAGCTTGGTACCACAGCTGTAATTTGATTGGCTGCATTAGGTCATGTGCTCAAAATTGACCAATCACGAAACTTGTAGCAGATTTCGACAAGAAAGCGTCATTAGAAACCAATTTTAATCCAATGAAATTGCTTGTTATAACTACGGAAAAAAACCAGACGATGTTACGAGCGTGTAGATGAAGGAATAAGCTTTCTAGCGATGTGTCATATGCCATTCTTCGACGAATGTGTTATTCATACGAAGCCTCGAAAACGGCGGTATTTCTTCATGTTACTGAGCGGACAGCCGCTGTTATCGGGAGATGGGTGATGACAGAAACTATTTATAAATTCTTTTTAAAATGATTTTCCAATTACGTAAACAATGAAAATAAAACAGAAATAGGCAAGTGGATTTTATTAAATGTTTTCGCTTCCTTGGTCCTTAATCTGGATGTTAACAACGTGTTAGCTTACATTTTTTATTTTAATACAACGAACTTAATTTAGTTGTAAATGCATTATTTTAAATAATGTGAAAAACACAACTTTCATATTTATAAACCATAGGATCAGACCTTTCAAATGGTGTATAACATGTAGTAGAAAATATATTTTACAAGCAGATATTTTCTTTGATAAATGTTGGCTTCATCTATCACACAAGCTTCTCTGGGAACTCGGTGTTAATGCCTTTTATTATCTGGTGTCTTTCGACAATGTCAGCAAAGTATTTCAGCGTAAGCGTTCTGAAGGTAGTTTGTGCTTATCAAAGCGAATCATGGAAAGTCAACTGGATGACACAGTTGGTGATTTGGCGATGGAGATGGACTTTCTATTCAGGGGTGCATGCAACAGAATCTAAGGCTGGTTCCTACGGGAATATTGTCGAACTTACAACACATATGCAAGTTTTAGCAGACTGGACTAAATTATGTGACAGTGGTGGCAAAATCTATAATAAACAGGGCTATTTAATTTAAGTGCATGAGTGTTACCTGATCATTTAACACGATAAAGTTATACTGGACAGAGTATTTCATTGCTTGCATTGCTTGCAACATGCGTGGTGGGTTATACTGAAATACTTTTGCAGCTTCTGTGGCACAAGTGAGGGATTTTTTTTGATTTTTTTTGATTTCCTCCTATCAGCATTCCTGGCTCCTAAAATCCGTAATACCTGCGAAAAAAATTTCTCTCAAGGACTTTTTTTTTTTTTTACATTCCCTCCTCCATTCAGCCACTTTACCCGAAAAAATCCGTAATCCTAGCAATTAAATTGGTCTGGCCTAAATATATAAATATTAATTGTATAAATCTTATAAAATATAGCACAAGAGAAGTTGTGATGCCAGACCAACACACCAAGAAAGGTTATTAAACCTGTACAATCTTTCTTGTATTTCAAGTTGATTTACCTGCAACAGTGATGCTGTTGATTTTCAGACTAAACATATGCAATTATTATTGAGTTGAACTCTCTGAAAAGTTGAAATTGTTGGAGGAAAACGGAAACTCATTCGTCCCATAATGAGTCAGACGTGAGGAAGCTTACATGATCCAATCAACAAAGTGCAGGGAGGAAATAACTGGCTTTTCTTGCTTTTCTAACATGAACATCACTGAGCGACCTGACAATTAGGTGAGGTGAGGTGAAATGGGGTTTAACGTTGCGTCCAAGATTATTGCACTTACATAGCGACGTGCATGTACGTGTGTGTGTTTGTGTGGCTGCTTGTACTAGTCCAGACTGATCCCGATATATAGTGCTAGCTCACTGAGATACCATGCCGT